ACTGATGTGCGCGCGCAAACCCCGTTAAGTTATGCGCGATGAAGATACGTATAACAAATTCTAGATACTGAAAGAAGATCGCCTCAAAATCCTAAGACGTGTCGAAAATAGGTAAAATATTTGTAGTTCACTAATTGGGTACATTGGAATGTATATAGATTAAAAGTCTTGTTGTCTGCTTGATTTTCCTCTGAAAACCAGAAATACACTTGACAGCGGAGTGAATCCAGTTAGTAAGGCACGAAGACAACACATAGATGCGATATTTTCTACTACTTTTTTTATTTTTTAGTTAAAAAAATCTTCCCTCTAAAACCTCTACGTCTTTTTAACTGCTTTTTCATTCTTTGTAACGAGGGAGCTGTAAGGTTATAACTCAGTGCCAAATTAGCCATAGACCGGGCCAGAAGAGTGGGTTGTGTCGTCTTGTTTTAGAGCGACCGATGGAAACTTCATAGAGGAGTACAGCATCACGCCGTTGTGATGATGTACACGTTTATTGAAAAATTATCGGTGTTTAGAGAGTTTCCTATATATCACCTGACTTGAACAAAAAAAGTTAGAATTCAGCCAAACACACAAGTTACCTAGTGCAGAAGTTTTCACATGTAAGCCATCGGATTAAAGGTTACGTTTGGCCTTTTCAGAGACTCTTCACTTTGGGTTTTGGTGAATCAGGAAATATAAAGAGCTAAATCAAGTTTTAAGTGAGTAACTGTAGGAGGCTTTGAGGAAGTCACCTCGCTTTACTCTTTGAGAAATTCTTGGCTTTTACGTTAAACTTACACGAGTGAATCAGCTATATGACATGATTTTTGACTTGTTGTAGGAATCTGCAGCGGGTCCAGAACAGCAGACTAAATTAAATTCTATAAGATCTCCGGACAGCAACCTGAAAGTAGTAAGCAATGAAGACAGCAGCTGTCTCGTCTGGTGATGGTCTTTATTCTTCGTTGCAGTATTTCTCAGTCAGATCCTCGAGCATCACTCGCATATAGTTTTTTTTTTTACTGCTTTTGCTGTTTTTGTTTTTTTTGCAGATAGAAATACGGATGGAAATAAAAAAAGAGACAAGAAACAAACCGCGTTACCAAAAGAGCTCCAGGAAAAGTTCATGACGACAGACAGTGCTGTTTTACAAGCAAAGAAACTCAATTCTGGAGAACATTACGCTGATCTTGACACCTCTTGAGTCAACTTTGTTTCTGGTATCATCAAATGTAATATATGTACGTAAAATATATTAAAGACTTATTTGATAAAGAAAAATGAAAAGGAAAGAAGTAATACAGCATTATGTCCAAACATTGTTTACACCGACGTGCGTTCCTCTTTGCTGGGCGGAGCCTGCCTTCAGAAAATGCGCTAGAAATGAAGGGAAGGTACGAGCTCTATGGGCAAGAACTGAAAATCATGTGAAAGTTTCGTTCTGTTCAGATGGGACTGATAACAGGATTAATTTTGTGAAATTTGTGAGTGTTTTATCGTCTTATCATGCACAAAACGCTTCTTAACCCAGAGCAAAATGGCGTCCAGTGTTTTTGCTGCTTCGACGTCTTCGATTTAGTACGTGCGTGGTAAGTCCGGCATGGCTTACACATTTGCGAGATAATGTTATGCAATAAAGCTGTAATATTACCGAGCACCGCAATCAATAAACCAGCACGTTCCATCTTCGTATAAAATTGAAAACATTTTATTTAACCTAGTTACCACGCATCCATGCCGCCACGCCTTCGCCGTAGAAAAATTTCGACGTTTACGGTGTTCACACCGTGGCGTTCAAATTATTGACTGTACCGGCTAAAAATTCGTCTTCGATTTTGGTGTTCAAATTTTGAACGCTTGAGCGTCCAAAGTTTCGTACGTTTGGCGTGGTTCCATGTGAACGAAACGCACGAATTTTCCATCGGTCGAAAATTTGAGAAACAGTTTAAAAGTTTAAAAAGAGGATCCTCCTAAGTTTCGTTAAATAACCCTTGTCTTGTTGAAAAAAAAAAAGATCGTAACGCTTGTAGCAGTACCGCCATTTTTATTTCGAGTTGATGGAGTCTGTTGATAGTGCTGCATGGAGATCATCACGTGACTTGTTATCCCCTCACAAGATATTGCTGCGCTCTTTTATCCTTTCCCACGGTATCAACGAACGTTTTTCATTCAATTAATTTGTTGTTTTTTTCTTTTTCACATTATCATGTTCCCAAACAACAGCGTAGGCGTAGCTCAATCTTTTTGCGTATAAACCTCACACAATCCTAAATTTTCATTTATTGCCTCGAAATATAATTTTACAAAATTTTCACTTGATCATATAAAGGGGGAAAGTGTGAGTAAAGCAAATTAATTAGCTTCATTGACTACATGTTTATTTCTTCAGTACTTCTATACATGTTTATTTCAAATGTCTGGGTCAATAAGACTTGGTAAACCAAATTTTGCCATGAAAATTTTCGTTAAAGGTAATCACGATTGCCTTTTTGTCCAAACCTTTAATTTCTGAGGTTGGTTGGGGTGTAATAGCATGCGAGTGGGTAGACAAATCTATGGCTGTACAAACCTTCAACACTGCGTGAAAAAAATATTGACGCGTCTCTTTCCAAAGCACATAAGATAATTTTTGACTTAAGTCGACCTACGTTCATTTTGAACATTAGTATTTATGTACCTGCGTAAACAAATTCATTCTTGACTCTTCGCAGTTTCTTTATTTGCGCCTGGCTCAATGAAATGATATTGAAAGTTTTCTTGGAGGGAGTTGAAGGAGGCCGATTTAATGTTTCTGAGTCTTGTAGTCCTTCAAGGTTTTTCACCCATTTAATCAGTGGCTCAAAATTCAACGGCTACGCTTATGCGTTTATCGAATGGGAGGTGTCTATATAGCCAGTCTTTTTATTTATTGCTCATGTTAACTGATACGAGAAGAGTAGTGTAATATTAACCCTTTGACTCCCAAGATCTCATTAGTAATTCTCCTTACTGTCCGCCATACAATTCTTATGATGTCAATTTGGAGAATTTGGTATTGGATCAATTCATAATCCCTTAACTGATATTTTACTTTGTTCTCATCACTTCTATGCTTGATATTGCATTGATATTGTAAGGAGAAATTCTCTCTTAGTCACTAATGGGAGGTAAAGGGTTAAGAGTCCTTCACTAGTATGATCGGAAGAACTGTGAAGTAGGTATAGCACTATACTAGTCTGTTCGATATCATCTGAGTCTATTGAATGTCATTTGGGGTGTTAAGAGGGAATTTATGTAGAGATAGGTTTCCACTCTTGACGGTTGTTAACTTCCAATGGAAGGCGGCTTAATATTCTGGGCTATTTGTAGGTTGACGAGTAAGCTACTCTCTCAGACGGCTTATCACGAGAAATGACTTTGCAAATTTGACGGAGTTATGGATAATGTGAGTAGAACATCTTTAAGTTTGACGCAGTACTTAGCTTACCGCGGGGAATTAGGGCGGGGAGACAGCTGCTAACGTTCCAGTTTTTTTTTAAGAAGTTTGCTTTGCTGTTTTTGTTACTTTTTGCTATGCTCAGATTTTTTCCTCTCCCGCTGCAGCACATTCCCGTCAATAAATTTCAATTCTATTGCTCTGTAACTCAGTAAACAGCATTTAATGTTACTTCAATCAAAGTTAACAATTAAATGGGTCAATAACCCAATAAAAGTGACTGAATACACTATTTGGCTACAACGTCCTTGTAATTATCGAAATTCTCCTCTAAATGTTTCATAAAATACACAATTTTAAAAACTGACCAATTAAAACAACAATAAAAAAAGGAAACTCCTCTTTGACTTCTCGTTTTGCGATTGGAAAATTAGTTTTAGTAGCATACTCAAAATATATTGTAATCCTGATGCACGAAAACTTTATCGCTTTCGAACGCACCCGGGGAAAATCTGTCGAAGTATTGGGAAAAATAATTTTAAATACTGGCTATAAACGCAAAAAATCTGTTAATTCAATTCCGAAAACTCCAATAATCGTGATACAGAAACTAATAATAACTTGGTAAATTTTCTCCAAATGTTAATCGCAATTTCCATTCAACTGAAAGTAAGATATTCGAACGATCACTCAACTGATTATTCTCCAGTTTCTATGGAAACGTTTACACATACATATGGTTTTGACAGCTTTATATCAGCCATAAGACAAAAACCGATTAAGACAAAAAATTGTTAAAATATTTTAGGGAAAACGGCGTTTTCCAGGTGCCTTTTAGCTTAAACGTAAAATTAATATAACCGGCCCAAAAACTTGTTTATAGACAACAAACTCACTCATGCTAGATAAAAAAAGGGGAATTTTTTTTACATAGCCAGTCATAGTAGTTTCACGAAACCGCTTTTGAAAAAATTACTTTTAAGCTGGTTCCAATCAAATATTAAGGATAAAAAACAATGCAAAATCCTTTTTCTTATCTTAGCCTATAAGAACGTTTAAGATAATAAATAAAAAATCAACTTGTGAAAATATAAAAATCCGTATGGACTTTTAAAGGCTCTTTCTGTTCTGCGTGCTTTGCATAGAAGACTCTTACAGAGATTTCATTGGTAGTCCTGTGGTTTCTGTTCCAAATGTCAACGTTTGTAGGCAAAGGTTTATTTCCTTGGCTTTCGTCGTCTCTATGATACAGCTCCAATGCTCGGTCCCTGAACTGAAAAATAAAAGGACCACAATTAGGGAGAATCTTTGAGTTTACATAAAATTTTCATTCGGCTATACGACAAGAAACGATATATTTCACAACAATTATCATCAATCTTATTTTCTATGAAAAACGTTTTCATCGTTAAGTCTGTAAAGTGTCGACTCAATTGTAAAGTATCTCAATTTCCTCGGGAAAGAAAGCAATTCTTACCCACTAGATAACCAGGTAACAAAAAACACCCGTGCTAAAATATATAACCATACAATTTTGATTAAAAGCTACGTTGAATTGCATAAATGTTGTGAAAAGAATAATTACATGGATCAGCAACTAAATTTCCTTGATATCAAGTTTGACGTCATCACCAATGAGTACAAATGGTGCCCAGTACTTCACCTCCTTGAACGTTCCAGACTCCCTCATACATCTCATGGCCTGATTTAGAGCTTCACTTGACTTCTTGCCTTCAGCAAGTGCATCGTAAAAGAAACTCATGAACTCCAGGGTTCCTTCGTCATCTAACGCCCACAAGGCTACCACAACAGATCTAGCTCCCGCACCCAGGAATGCTCGGGCGATGCCGACCACACCCTCGGCCATGACTTCCCCACGAGCACTGTGACAACAGCTTAGAACAACCAGTTGTGCTCGCAGACCAGCTTCCAGGACATCTTTCCTCGTCAGTAGATAGTCCTTTTCTTCAGGCTGAGTGGTTTCTCTCGTAGTGTTTGGTGCCAAGATAACTTCCCCAGTTTCCATTTTACCATGCGCTGCAATATGTACCAAAGCCACTGATGACAGTCGTTTTAACACTTCTCCTTTTGTTGCCATCTCTCCAGTGAGGGGGGAAATACTGAGAATTCGTCCAATCATCTCCGCTTCTTTCCTTGCTCCCGAAAGTTGTACCAAACGTCTTCCTTGATAAATGATCTCTTTGAAACATGGGTCGCCAACAAGCAATGCACCACTCTTCATGTGGAACTCAGCTGGGGAATCATTAATTAGTTGTAAGGTCGTCAGAGAAGGAAGCACACGAATTCTGAATGAATCACTGAGATAAGTTGAATTCGAGTCCTCCAATGCCGCGTAAGGCACAAGACAAAATGGACCCTCAGGAACAACTGTAAGCTCGTTGCCTTTGATCAGATCAGCAATAGGAGTAAAGATGATGTCATAAAGCTTCTGTAGAGCACTTGATTGTGAGAACCTTACATCAACTTGAACCATATCGTGCGACACTTCCTCCGGTTTCGGCGAGTAATGAGGAGGATTTTCGCATGTAACAGCATCTCTTGCACCGATCTCTTTCAAGGCAGTTTTGTTCAGTTGCTCGATGAAAAATTCCAATTCCTCTTCATACTTATAATTGTTCACATGTACCTTTCTCGACTGGATATTATCGTCGCCAAGGAAAACCCAGAAGTGAACATAAGGTCCATTGATAGCTATAAAAATTGTACTTGATGGAACAAAACTAAGGAAAACGAACGAAGCGCTTTTCCTTGAAAAATCTTCGGGTTGATATGTTGAGGTTAGGAGATCTCTCAGAGCTTGAGCACGTCCTTTCTCTGCGGCAAGAAGAGCCTTAACAACTTCACCTTGGATTAGATTTATATGCCAAAAGCCTACGTATGCACTCTTATGCTGATCACGATAAGTAATCTTCCACTGATCGTTGAAATGCAGACTCGCACTGATACTATCGAACACCTCTACACTTGAGTGAAAGAAGTCAAAAGCCCTCCTTAGTTTACCTTGACACTCAAAACTTTTTCCAAGAAAAGAGAGTGATAATGCCTCTCTGTTCTTGTCTCCCACTTCTTTAGCAATTTCTAGATCACGTTGATGGTACTCGATTGCTGTTTGGAACTGTCCTAGATTATAATAAGCGCAGCCGAGATTGCCATAACTTCTTCCCTCTTCGGCCTTGTTTCCCACTTCTTTAGCAATTTCTAGACCACGTTGATGGTACTCGATTGCTGTTTTGAACTGTTTTAGACTATCATAAGTGCCGCCAAGATTGCCATACCTTGTTCCCTCTCCGGCCTTGTCTCCCACTTCTTTAGCAATTTCTAGACCACGTTGATGGAACTCGATTGCTGTTTTGAACTGTCTTAGACTACAATAAGCGCAGCCGAGATTGCCATACCTTGTTCCCTCTCCGGCCTTGTCTCCCACTTCTTTGGCAATTTCTAGACCACGTTGATGGTACTCGATTGCTGTTTTGAACTGTCCTAGACTATAATAAACGCAGCCGAGATTGCCATAACTTTTTCCCTCTCCGGCCTTGTCTCCTACTTCTTTAGCAATTTCTAGACCACGTTGATGGTACTCGATTGCTGTTTTGAACTGTCCTAGACTACAATAAGCGCAGCCGAGATTGCCATAACTCGGTCCCTCTCCGACCTTGTCTCCCACTTCTTTAGCAATTTCTAGACTACGTTGATGGTACTCGATTGCTGTTTCGAACTGTCCTAGTCTATGATAATAGCAGCCGAGATTGCCATAGCTTCTTCCCTCTCCGGCCTTGTCTCCCACTTCTTTAGCAATTTCTAGACCACGTTGATGGAACTCGATTGCTGTTTAGAACTTTCCTAGAGTATTATAAGAGAGGCCGAGATTGCGATAACTTGTTCCCTCTCCGAACTTGTCTCCCACTTCTTTAGCAATTTCTAGACCACGTTGATGGTACTCGATTGCTGTTTTGAACTGTCCTAGACCATTATAAGCGCAGCCGAGAATGCCATAACTCGGTCCCTCTCTGACCTTGTCTCCCACTTCTTTAGCAATTTCTAGACCACGTTGACAGTACTCGATTGCCGTCTTGAACTGTTCTATATCATAATAAGCTATTCCAAGATGGATACAACGGATTCCCTCTTTGGCTTTTCCTCTCTCTACTTGAAACAGAAGTTTTTTTTTCTTGTCAGTCTTGAAACGGGTTAAGAATAAATGGCTGATGATTGGACGTGAGAAAGTTTCAATAATAATAACGAGAATATCATACAACCGGTTGGGAAATTTTTTGTATGTGACTGGCTAGGAGCAGTAGTATTTCAGTAAAATTTCAAACACTTATATGTAAAAGTAGCATTTTCAATGGTAGATAAAATTATTTTGTTTTTAATTTTGAAACAATGGCTGAAATAATTTCCAATTGTGAGGCGAAAGAACTGCAGGAGAGTAAAGAAAACGCAGCAAATAAAACATCAAGAAAGGCACGATGTGGCCTACAGTCTGAAAAAAGTGGGCTGAAGCGAAAGGATTCAGTCCGAATATTTTGAGCCACGAGGTCAAGAAATTTGATACGAATCTGAAGAGATTATTTACTGAGAAAGAAGGAGAATTTCTCTCAATGAGTCACACAGTTTGCGGGTATTGGCAACATCCCTGGAAGATCATTTAATTTAGAAAAATCTCTCGCGGTCCCTATTAAAAACCTCGGAATTGGACGTACATGTCTAACGTGGATTTATTTGGATGATTTGCTATCTTAACAATGCTCTTGTTGGAGTGAGTATTGACAAGCTTTCTAAGCGCAATTATGTGTTTAATTTCGGGCGTCCTACTAATTTCTTGGAGTGACACGGATGAGGAGCATTCAGTTTAATCTCTGCGATTTCAATATTATGGTCCCTTCTGTTCAGTAAAGTTTTGTGGAATAATCGAAATGATCTTTGAAAATATTGTAGTTTCTAATAGGTGTTAGTGAGCACTGCTTGCATTGCCTCACGTATTTAGGTTTGAAAGACTCGTCAAAGGATACGGCCAATCCCATACGCAACCAGCTCCTTGTCTCCTCAAACAAGGATAGCTCGACACAAGCACTGGCTCCTGAGAGGGTAATAATAAGCGTCACAAGGTAATTAATTCACTACCAATTCCACATCTAAATGTCTCCAGAAAATCGACTTATACCCCATTCACACTAACAAAACATGTTTAGTAAAACAGGGTTTTCTGAGTGAAAATCAGAAACAGAGAACTGAAAAGCTGAATTTTCCATAGGATTTAAGTAATCGCTAACTTGTATTTTAAATGTGTTACATTTTAAGTCGATAAACATTGGTTCTTGGAGCTTCTATGAAGAACAAAAATCAAACCGTGTTAAAGAAAACAGCTTTAAATCATGTTTAAGCTTTGTTGTGAATTTGGCGATAGGTTTTGACTTGGTTTGGAAAATAATTGTGATAATAAAGGAAATTTTAAATACTGGAGCTAGAGCAAAGTGGCTACCAATATAGGTTGTTTGACTCTTCAACTCCCGGAAGTGATCAACATGAAATTTCTCCCTATAACATTCTTACATTATCCAGCAAACAGGGATATGAGAATATTCAAACATATCAGGTAGAGGTTGTTATCTTGATCTTACACGAAATTCTCATATCTAATTTACAAGGATAAATGTAGTAGCAGAGGGGAGAATTAACACTCAGATCTTGGAAGTTAAAGAGTTAAAGCTTACTGGCCATTTTGCACTTTTTAATTACGTGGCAGATATTGATCCGTCAGATATCATTGACGCCCGAGGTACAATCAACTGCCTTAATCTATACAGTTCCCTCGGAGGAAATCTCAGAAAAGAGATTAGATGACTCATAGCTGAAATACGCACCTTTCTTTATCGCTTTGATCAAAGTGGGTTCCAATTAAACAGCAACTGTTGCGTCATCAAGACATTCTTCGTAGTTTTCTGTGGAATTCAATAATTTCTTGTAAGTCGTCGTCGCACGTGTTAGTGATACACATGCAAAAATTTCAGCATGCTTATTGGCTGAGAGCACGTCAATTAATCCCAAACAGAGTAGAAAGTTGAAATTGAGTACAGAAAGTTTAAGTTAAATTAATTGACCGGTAAGCCGCGAAAGCAAAACAAAACATAATGAAGAAAGTAGCTACGTTTTAACTCAAAGTTTGAGGGAGAATGCTAAAACTAAAAACGCACAACAAAGGAACAACAACTGGCTACCAGTCTGGCTTCCAAGAACGGATATGAAAGTATAAACCGGAGGCCCTTGTTAAAATTATCGATGAGTTTTACGCAACATTTTGCACGAAAGACGGGGGAGATTACGAGAGTGATAACTTTCGTGTGATGGTACAAACACTCAATTATTCTCTATAGAGGTTTAAAAAGTTTGAAGAAAATTATTGAGGAAAAAGCCCAACCACTTTGGCAACAATTGGCGAGCCATGACACGAACTAAAGATAGCTAAAAAGGAAAACAGAGTCATATTTTTGCTCGTATATTTTAACTAGTAATCACATGATTTTTTTGCGTGCAGTTTAGAACAAATTAGCACTCGTAAATTTTAACGACAACAAATTGCACTCGCCCTACGTGCTCGTGCAATTTGGCCAGCCTTTGAAAAATTTACTTGCGTTAATTTGTCTCAAATAGCACTCGAAATCATGTGATTTCCTAGACAAATAGAGACTATTCCATGGAAACTGCGTGAACGATTTTTAAAGGGGGCAAGCTTCTAAAGAAACTGTGGTGCTGCGTGGGTCGGAGAATATAACAGGGTGATTTAGTATAATTCACTGAGTTGATAACGTAAACTGACCACCGTAAAGAGTTTAAAAGCTTACGTTTCGAGCGTTAGCCCTTCGTCAGAGCGATTGGAGGAATTGTGGGTTGTGTGTGTCGTTATATGCATAAAATAGAGCTACGCTATTGGTGGGAATATGGTCACGAGACTATTCCCACCAATTTACGTCATGTACTTAGTTGATAATACTTAATTAGCCAGCACCACATCCGGTTTTTGCCACTTGCCCGTTGGCCATGGATATTTTAAAATTGGAAACTGCATGAGTCACGGGCAACTTATACTGAGAGTTCATGTTGGGTAATTCTACGCACATCAAAGATTTCGTTTAAGGTATAAATATCAAAGAAAGCAGCACTTGGCTTCTCAGGCTGAGAAAGCCGACTTATATCCACATTCTCTGACTACGATATTCCAAACTTTCAACTAAAAATTTTCGTTAGGAAACGATATGCTTAGTAATAAGAACAAAAAAATTTCGTGGTGTTCCATGCAACCTTGAACATCTAAATAAAGATGAACAGATGATTTGGATTTGGAAATTCCGTTTTTTATAGCTTCTGTTTATCTTAACTTGTAAGACCCTTTAATGCGTCGATCCCCTTGAAGCTTCAAAATCAACGTCTGCAATTTGAAAAATTTTCAGTTCGTAACTGAGGAAAACTCCGAGCCATTATCTCTGTTGTATAGCTAACAAAATCCTACGATTCTCAGAATGCTGTTATTTAGAGCGAGTTCTAAACTCGAAAATTTTGACTAATTCTGCTATGTAGCATTTGACAATGAGATCTCCCTTTTGGCCCACGCCTTATGCCGAACTTTTACCATTCAAATCTCCGATATCATTATTAATGTCACACGTGCTAATGATTCCAACCTCACTCTCAATGAAAATGTCTCCTCTGGACTCGAAACCACACGTGAGCGATATTAAATATCCATGAGAAAACCTCAACAGGTCACAAGCAATTTGCACAAATGTGATTCACTCGATTGGCGAGGTTGGACGTAATGCCGTGGAAGAGGGCTACAATCTTGGATTATTAAAAAATACGATAAGAACTTCCCAAAAATGCGCTGAAAGATTACTTAAGAATTGTTTCTTTTAGGGAGCATTTCTGCGTGTTTGTTATACATGAAATGTTCATTTTGTCGATTTCATTTGGGTAATGAGGTGAGGAAAGATGCACAAAGCGCAGGAAAGACAACAGGAGTGGATAAAATCCTGTTTGAAATGGATACAGATTATGTATTTCGTTATTTCAGCTACGTAAAGATTTTAGAAGTTTCAAAAACAATTCTTACCCAAATGGAAATAAGCTGCTGCCCTGTTGCTGTAAAGCTTGGCGTTCAGCCGTATATCATCGCAGTTCACTTGAAGTCCTTCCGTGTAGAAGTTTATCGCCTCCTTAGTTTCTCCTTGTTTGTATTTCTTGTTACCTTCCTCGAGACATTCTTTTGCTATGCCTGAAACACATCGGCTGGGTGTTAAGAATTTAGTAATGAATGAAGCGACCCTAGACGGATAATGCAAACTTTTGCTTGACGAAGTAGCTTGTAGGTCATACAGAAACTTAAAACTCTACCGAAATAAAAGGAATTCAGAAACAATTACTCTCGCATTTAATTTGCTCAAGAAAAATAAACTTAGTAAATGGGAGTCAACTGTAGCGCATCTACAGAGCTTAATTCAATCGATTGAAATTTAGCCAGTGAATCTTTCACAGGAACCTCTTCTACAACATTAACTAAGGATTAGCTCGATTGGAATTTATAACTTAAGTCTGATAAAAACATCGTCCTTTCACTTTATAGTTCTCTTCACAGCCGTTCTTTGGGATGTTACGCTACGTCTCCCCCCCCCCCCTGCGAAACCCTAAACACGGATGCAAAGGAAAACAGTGGTCAACCTTCGGGCATGCGCAAGGGGATCAATTCTGACCGGCTACGCGCCAGTTTCCCGCGCAAAAATGAGAAACACGATCGCTGTCTTGCAAAATAAGAAACAGAGAATTGAAACATTCATCCTAAATCTGGGAAAGGAAACAAAAGTAAAGAAAGGGAAAACTTAAGTATTTTTGTTTCCTGTTCATTTACCTTTCTATTTTGAGGTTTACCAAAATAGTTATACGGTTTTGAAACACCATACGTGACTGACTGTCTTTTATAGTTTTTTTTTAACCCCTGTTAGACAACTTGGTTCTTATAGCCTGTATACACCTGACCTAGTTTTTACAACATTGATACATATGCAGACGTTTGAGCGCTGTGCTTTCCGTTTTACGCTATCGATTGTGAACTTCCTAGAACTTTCTGTTCCAAACAGCTGAAAGATAATTTGAGATAAATCAGGACATGTGAAATTATTCATCTATGACTGGAGACTTAAAAGAAAAACACCTAAGGGCGTATTTCAAAGAACCTAATTTCTCACCTCTTAAAGGGTCATCGTCTACCCCAAGTTTTGTCTCACTTGAAGTAACTTGACTTTCGTTTGACGCTGAAATTACCAAAAATATTTTTTTAATTTGATAACACATATGTGCAATTCCAACCGGTGCTTTAGTTCGATTTTTCCCTTTTAGTTCCTTGGAAAACCAGCGTTTCATTTGTTTCCTAAAACCTTCAAGTGTAAACGGTCCAAAAAAATCTGCACCGAACAAAACATGTAATCACTTACTCGATTACCATATAGCCGTCTTACTGAATTGTTTTCTCTCACCTGTGACTGGAAGCTCATTGTTTAAGTCTAGATCCTTTCCTTTTGTTGGGGGATTACCTTCCGCCATAGCTGGAAAATAAAATGAAATTGATTGTACTGCGCCAGAGAACATCGTCACAAAACAATAAAGGCGGCTCAAATGAAGGTAATTGAAAGAGAGCACAATAGACCACCTGTCTCTGTTACTAAAATATAACAAAAGAATGAGAGTTTCAAGGTTTTAGCCGTCATACTACCATGGTCTCGTGACCGCACGAGTCAAATTCCACTTTTTATTTCGTGTTTGTTCATTCGTTTGTTTAGTTGGTTTCGATACATCGTTTAAGGCTCTCCGTTTCTTAACACGAT